TCAGGTCTTTTCAGACAATTTAAGATAGAAATTTTTGTTGTGTCAGATAGCTTCACCATTTTATTTTAAATTTGTTAACTCTTTGATTACACATGCGCACACACATGAATGACCTTAAAATCTGGTTAAAAGTGACACTACTCAATGATCAGGGTAAATTTTTCGAACATAAATAAAGCTTGCGGTTTTCCATAAATAGGCCTATCATATTAAAGTGATCATATTTCTGAGATTTAAAATGGAAAACATATATTTTCTTTCTATAATGATAAGAAGAATATTATTAAATATAATAATATCCATCATTTTCATTCTTTAAGTACAGAAAGGGAAAACATCAAGAAAATATTATTTTTTTGAGGTGTAACACTGACTTACCACCTGTACTGTATATATTTCACATCAGATATATGTCACTTCATTAGTTCAAAGAGTTGCTTCTATAAGTTTAAAATTTTTCTTAACATTTAAATTTATTATTTATAATATAAAATTTGGTCTTTAGTAATTTTCAATCAGAGCTCTGGCTATTTTCATCCCACCTTTAGCCATTTTCTAATCTGGTTATTTTCAATCCTGGATGTTTTCTACCAGTCCCCATAAAGAGAATGGCAAAAGTTTGCTATACTTTTAAAAAAGATAATATATTTTCAAGTTGTTAATACAATTATAAGAATAATATTCAAGTTTACTGCTCAATTAGCCTGGAACAGTCAACAAAATATACCTGAAGATGGAAATGAGGTAATTTGTGTCTTGAAATTGTAAGAATAAAACTTTATACATATATTCACCCCAACAGTTAGCTTTATCTTTTTTAATGCTTATAAATGACTTCTAAAACAATAAGATAAAAGAAAAAAACACTTGAAGACAAAAAATTTGATTATAAATGAATGATAGATTATGAATTTGATTTAGATTTCAATAAAATCTCGTTCATTTCATTTTCTTACCTTATTTCATTTTATCTGTAAAACAACTCTAATCAAAAGCAAAAAAGTAAAATTGTTGGATTTTTCAACTATAAAAGTAACCAAAAATCTCATTGTTTTATAGTAGACTAAAAAGAAATTATGAAATTCTTAACTACATTTTTAATATGTAAATATTGAATGCATTTTTTATTCTTTCTGTCTCTCTATCTCTCTGTTTTTCTTTCTCTCTCTCTAACAGTTAAAACACTAATTGAATGGAACAACTCACAGTTTGCTTGTCCATTTGACTCTGAATTAAAACCAATTGATAGCTCATATCCAGATCCAGAAAACTGTGGAATTTATTATCATTGTATCAATGGTACTGCACATCCACAGCAATGTCCACCTGGACTTTTATTTACCGTTTCCATAACAAACTGTAAATATTCCCTATGTGTTGAACCACATCAAGCTGACTGTCTTGGAGGAACTTTGTCTTCAGCAATAATGGAATCAGACATTGCTATGGAATGTTCAAAGGATGACATCAACACTTCTGAAAAGACTTGTTACATTAACAATGATGATTGTGAAGGAGGTCAGAATGGAACATTTCCAAATAAAAATGATTGTCGACAATACTATCATTGTTATAATGGAGTTGCCTGGCCTCAGCAATGTCCCATAGGCTACTTTTTTAGTCCATCATTAAATATTCGTGATTGTACAACTAGAATTTGTGTTACAGCAGAAGAATCTAAATGTCCAGTAAAGGGTGGATGGTCTGAATGGTCAAGTTGGAGTAATTGCAATCCACAATGTGGAGATGGATTACGAACCCGAACAAGAAGTTGTACAAATCCTCCACCATCCAATGGAGGAGAGAAATGTGAAGGAAGTTCAGTTGATATAGATTTATGCTCAAATCTTCCATGTAATTTAAATACAAATCCAGCATTCATGGTATCGTTGACAAGAACAACATCAGTTGGAAGGGGAAAGGTCTTTTGGCATAAAGTAAACCATAACAATGGAAATCTGTTTAATACAACTACTAATACACTAAATATTGAAAAAAATGGTTTCTATTTTCTTTCAACAACTGGTACTAAAGAACTATCAAATATAAAACATTTCTATATGGACTCATTGAATCTTGGAAGAAAAATAGGCCTACATCAAATGGACAGCTCTGTGAAAGGTACATTCAGTAGATCAGGAATCATTGCACTAAGAGCCCTTTATCCTGAACATTACATTCAATTTTATTTTGAAACTGTAGCTGTAAGCAGTGAAGATGGTTTTGAAACATCTTGGTCAGGTTTTAGGTGTGAAGCAAACAATGTATTCTTTGCTGGTCCAATGTCTGATTTCAATATAGTAGGACAAAAAATTCGACTTAATCAAATTGTTTTACTGTCTGGTGTCACTCTTACTCAGGGCCAAAAAGATATAATAGTATCATCAGCTGGATGGTATTTTATCAACTTTGGTGCTGGATTTGTAAATAGAATGTCTTGCATAGTAAGCATAACATTAAATGGCGAATCTGTATCTCATGAGAGATCTTTAGCAAAAAATCATGGGAATTCCCTATACTCTCAAGCATCTAGGGGTATAATTGTTCAATTGAATGCAAATGACAGGATATCACTAAAATTGCATTTAGGCATTGCAAGGTCAGGAAATATGAACACTTATATAGCTGGATTTAAATTAAATGCTACTGAGCAAAGTCCTGCATTCTATGCATATAGAACTGATGATGTAATAATAGTATCTAGGGCAAAGATAGCCTTTAATGCAATTGTCATTGACACAAATTCTGGTTGGAATTCTTCAGAAAATGTTTATAAGGTTGCAATTTCTGGACTCTATCATATTGACGTGTCTGTTGGAATATGGCCAAATTCACATTCTATAATATATATTATGGTAAACAATGAACAAAGATTAGGTATGAGAAGAGTGAAATTAACACCAAGCTATGAAATAATGAGCAGAGTAGGTTTATTGAGATTGAAAGTGAATGATAGAGTATCCATAGAGACAAGTACTAATTTACATAGCAGTGATTGGAAATTAACATCATTGTCTTTGTTTTATGTTTCTTCTTAAAAAAATATATCTTTTCTGCTTTTTTCTAATTGTATCTAATTTGTACTGGCGAGGAAGCTTCTTATGATGTCTGGCTGCAGTAGACTAGTTCAATTGATCAATTCCTGTTTATTGTATTAAGCTCTCTAATTGGTAATAGGGAAAAAAACTTCTCCAATCACATAGTGATGTTTGGACGGTAAAAAACTAACCTTGGTGTTTTTATGAATTGTTCCTGTTCCATTTGAAAACATTCTATTTAATGTAGCAATATGGAACTAAAATCAGATTTTTGCTTGTAACTTTGTTGTAACCAGAATGAATTAATAAATTCAAACATAAAAAACAGTGTTGTAAACATTCTTTTTTTTCTTGTTTCCGATAATATATAGGCCTTGTTTTTGGTTGGAGAATGTTATTTTTAGTTTACTCTTACTAAGTAGCTCTCAGGCAATCTAATAATGAATATTTTTCAAAGCACAAGTAGGCTTAAAAAGTATATTACACGGCTGTGTAAGCATTTTCTTTAACATTCACCTATATGAATTGCTAGATGTCATTTTCCAACATCAAATTAGCTGATGAATATCCGGCTTAATTATAATGGCATTCTTTGCAGGATAATCAGATTTAGAGATTTTATAAAATAATAAGGAATAAGAATTGTCCTATCATAGAAAAGAGACAGAAAGAGAGGGAGAGAGAGATAGAGAAGAAACCATACAAACTTGCTGTATAATCTTCCAAGAAAACTAGGATTAATCTGTTTAGAAACAAATTGACAGGTTATAACAAGTCTAGTGTCTAGGTTACCCAGTCAATTTTAAAACACATAAACTGTCAAACATGACTGATACCTTCATTTCTTCCACTATGCAAAAATTCAGCAAAATAGTTTTGTCTACAGCACTATTGCATGCTGTTTGTTGTGAACAATCTCACAAGTTAGTTCTATATCCATCTTCCATCAAATTTACATCTCTTCTAAGTGGCTAACTCCTAATTCGGTTCTATTTGGACAAGTACTTACCTACAACCCAACAGCAGGAAAGTACAATGACCAATATGTGGATTTGTTTAGGTCTATAGAAATATTCAATTTCATATACAAAAGCTGGTATCTGGTAAAAGGTCAAGGAGAAGTGACGAGCAACCATGATTTTGTGAATGATGTGTTGATATATCATATAATACAGAGAGTGTCAACTCTGAATAATCTCTCATAGGCTAAATGCTAACAGATAAATCAAAATCATTGCAGAGATTACCCAACTATAAAAAGAATGAAATTTATCAGAATGATTCTAAATTTTGAAATTTTGAAATGCAGTCTTTCCATTCCCTAAATAACAGAAAAGAATCAAAAAGATATGTGTAACAATTACTTAATAGCCAAATAAATGTAGGCTTAAGATCATCTTTCTCTTATCATTTATCTCTGATAGTAAATTGGCTATACTTGCAAAATACTTTGGAGAGTTTATGGAGAAGATAAGAGGGGAATAAAAGAGAGAAGTTTAGCGCAGTCGACAGGATTCGAACCTGTGCGGGCAGAGCCCAATAGATTTCTAGTCTATCGCCTTAACCACTCGGCCACGACTGCTTTACAATAAAAACAGGAAGTAACTGCCTGTCACTAAGTAAATGTAACAAAACAGTAGATTTTCTCTTATCTTCTTTACTCATGTTACACCTTGTTCAAAACTATTATACTCTTTCACTCTTTTTCTCTTATTTTTCCCTCCCTTTCTCTTCTTCTCTCTCTCTCTCTCTCTCTCTCTTTATCCTCCTGTCCCTCCCATTTATTTTTAAACAAGGAAGTATAAAAAAGGAGAATAAAATACTTTGAACTGCTGAGAAAAAACAACAAAGCATATTGTGAAAAGGATTATTATAAAGCTATGTAGGAATTTTAACAATCACGTGACCTACTAGGCCACTCTTCCCATAGTTAATAGTTTGACACTATTGAAGAACAATATTGACAATAGGCCTTCAAAAGTTGATTTTATTTAATCTTAAAAAGAATATTATAAGTAAACAATTGTTAAATGTATGCATAACAGAGATTATAGTCCTTCTTTACCTGTCTGCCCTACCCAAATAAAAATTCTTCTTCTTTTATCAGTTATTCTCTTTTTCTCCCTTTCAATATCTAAACAATCTGAACACAGGGTATTGCTCTTGATTTTGCAGATGGTACTGTTGTTGTTGTTGTTGTTGTTGTTTTTGTTGTGAATGGTAGTTGTCGTACTGATGATGCGGATGCAATTGTAGAGCCTCCTTTTGATGTTGATAAATTTGGTGAAAATTAGACGGGTTTATATTCAATTGATTTGGGTAGTTTCTATTAGAGATATACTCGTCACTTAGGGCTCTATAATCATATCCTTTTGGATAATGATTCCTCATATTTCTATTTTCTTCATTATAGTCGACGCTATAATCATCTGAGTTGGTTACTATCGATTCGTCATCATCGTCTTCCTGATGAAAAGCTCTAAACGAGAATATTGCGTTAAGAATCGCCAAAGCGCTTGTCATGCAAGCCATATAGAAGGCGACGTGAAACTGTCCATCCTCTCCAATGATATTACTCAGGAAGAGAGCCCAAGCAATAATTGAAGCCAACGAGCAGAGTATGGAAAACCATCCTATTATTTGCTTGTTCAACGGATAAGATAGACTTTTGGTTAGTTGAGAAATTATACAAGAAAACCATGCTATTACTATGGAAACTGCTGAGCCAATAAACAAGCTTTTCGTCGCTCTGAACCAATCATCTACAAATGATCTTTGATTAGTATCACTACGTTCTTCTATCTCTGAACTAAACTAACCTGAAGAATATTTAAAATTTGATGAATCAATACTCTCGCAGCGCATTGATTTGTTAACCGTGTTACATATCTTAAACAATCCTATTTCAATGGTTCCTTGATTCGTACTCTCGAATTTAAACCAACTGTTTAATCCAATAGCCATACCACTAAGGGCAATATTCACTGGTAGTCCAATGAACAAGAGAACTTTAATTGTTACTGGCTGTCTATCAAATGCCATTCTCGTATCCTGCACAAACTGTAGCCAATCACACAGCCAGAGTAGGAGAGAGAGACAGAGAAACAGACAGGGAGACAGACAGAGAGAGAGAGAGAGAGAGAGAGAGCAGAGAAAGAGGGAGGGGGTAAGAAAAAAAGGTAACTACAGTTTCCGCTTATTTTAAGCAATCAATATCTATAAATCCTATAAGAATGGGGCTGGCAATGATAGGCCAAAGATAGCAAATAATTTTTTTCACTACCTCCACCACCACCACCAGCATACTACTTGTACAAAATATTATGGAAAGCAATTTTTATTTCTCTTTACAAACACTTTAAAGATGTTTGTCAACATTTTTAACAAATAGATAATAGGACAAACTATCAATTAGGTCAATGAAACAAATAATATCACTGTTGAGTAGGCTAAAAGCATAATGATCTATAACAAATAATAAAGACACTTCATCTTTTCAGTTCCAACCGTTGTAACAGTCTTTTCAAAGTGTTTCCGTATGAATAAATGTCTTCCTTGTCAGCGTTATCTTGCAATCCTCCAATGTCAATCATTGACAATATCCATATTCTCTTTTTACTCTTCCTGTCCTAAAGAAAAAAAACAATATCTATTTTTAACTGGGTCTTTCATTTCATATTCAAACAAGAGTTCTATCATCCAACCTGAAAAAATATGGCGTCTAATGAGATTTTACCCATCAGCACAAAATCGAGTGAATGACAAAATGTTACTGCTGTTATTACATTTCTAGAAATTTCTAGAATATTATTAATTGTTAAACTCAATAGAGAATTCTTGTAATCTGCTAAACTGTTCAAAGGTTTGTAGACACAGAGAAAATTCTTGTTCATTTCACTCATAAAAGTACAATCTATAAGACAAACATTTCATTTTAAATTTGAAAAAATTGTTTGACAAACATTTTAAATATTCAAAAAAAAAAGAATTCTCACTTTTTTCCAAATGTTTATTTACAACCATTTTCAAATGTTGCTCACTGAAAAAGAATTATCTTTCTCGCTCTGTTTTTCTTTCTCTTTTGTATTTTTAAAATTTTAATACTAAGACAAACTTTTTAATTTTCTTCCTATTCAAACTCATTATGACAAACTCTTTTATATCGTTAAAAGTGTAGAGAAATGGATTAATAACAGAATTCATTGGTAAGACAACAATGACAATTGCAGTATACAATTCTTTGGATATAACTAAATTGAAAAATGCTGAATACATTCCTGGTAACAAAATTTTTTTTTTTTAAAAAAAATTCCAAATTTTTATGACAAACAAACCTAAAAATGAAATTGGAAACCAACACAAAACGTTTGTTATAACAATTAAAAATGCTTTTAATTTTATCTTTTTCTGTTGAGTTTTAAATTTAGATTTTCCAAGAAGATTTTTAGATTCCAATGTTTTTTTCCAAATTATAAAATAAAGAAGACAAATTACTAGACAAACAATACTTATGAAACAGCCAAACAATAGAAATGAATAAAACCATCCCTCCTTCTTTTCGCTGGAAATATGCAGCGTAAAACATATTGAACTCTTCGAGTAGTAATCCTGTAAAAATTCAATTTGAGCTCATTTCTAATCTACTTCCGGTTTTTTTTAAATAATAAAAGTATTCAAACACTATAAATGATAAGAGGTAGAATAGAAAATAGACTTGATAGGCAAACTATGACAAACATAACAATGAGTAATGTCAAAGCTGATTGAAAAATCTTTAACCAAGGATAAATGATTATCTGAAATCTTTCAATTGTTATAAATAATAGACTAAGTGCAGATAGAAGAATTGAAAAACTGCAAAATAGTCCAACAATTGAACAAGTTAAACTTTTCCTCCATTTAAAATCATTTTCAATATAATCTCCTTTAAACGTTAAATCTGCAATTCCAATTGAAATAAAATAGGCTGAAGTGATAAAATCCGAAAATGCTAAACTAAGATTGAAGACATTCAATCTTTTCTCGGTGATAAAAATTCCAAATATTAATGACGTAATATTTTCAAAAAATGCTAAACAACTGAATATCCATAATAGAACTCTTAATAGTTTGGATTCTAGGAGATCGGCACAAGAATTGAACAAGGATGTACTAGGTTGACAATCTTCTATTTTCTTGGCATATTTCCAAGCAAAGCAGCATAATTCGAAATAATTACTGTTCAAATTCTGTAGATTATTCAAATACTGCACATAGTATTTACCAATACTCATATCGATAACTGAATGCTCTAGTGAAAGATTTTCCAATTTGAAAAGATACGAAAATGACTGTTTGTCAACTGCTTTTATACGACAATAACTTAAATCTAAATGTCGAAGATTATATGAATTATTGAAAATATTCTTTGAAAGTTTTGTAATGTTTGTCCTTGACAGATCCAACAGAATCAAATTTTTAAACCAACCAAATGAAAATTCAATGTGTAAGACGATACTATTTTTACGAAGAATGAGAATTTGTAAAAGTTTTAACAGATTGCTATTGAAATCTTGAAATGATATTGCAACATTCCTGGTCAAGTTGAGTACTATCAAATTGGGAAATTTCATCGCAATATCAATTAGTCTGATCCTACTCTTAGCAATTTTCAAATAGGATAGACAGAAATAGGTTCTACGAAAAAGTAGGTCAGAAGTAACATTATAGTTTAAGGCATAAAGATTCTTCCAAAATAATTGTCCAGTTACGTTAAAGCGTTGCGTTGTTGGCTTTTTAAAATTACATTCTATAGAATAGAAATTCTGACAAATGCAATTGTCAGGGCAGAATTTTGAAGTATTGCAGTACAATTCGTCACTTCCCTTCAGACAGTCAACAATCTCATTACAAACATCTGAGAGAAGAATGAAATATCTCTCTTCTCTACATTTGAAATATCCTCTAGGTAGAAAATTTCCTATTATGTGGAAATATGGGGAATGTATTCATTTTGAAAGAAAAATTCCAAGGTTAAAGAAGGTCAACAAACCGCAATCAATTTCATCGTCGTACTCATCGCAATGTACAACTCCATCGCAAACTTGCTTAATTGATATACAATAATGCTGATTTCTACACAAATACTCACCAATATTGCAGTTGTTAATTTTGCAGTCGTTTAAAGTCATATACGGATAGTGAACCTTATTTAATAGAATTCCTGTCGAATCGTATTCTATCCTGCAATTTATCATACTCCTGAACACATCTTCGTGTACACGGTTGCAGAATTGAACAGAATTTTCAATTTGAAATCTTTTATAGCAAGATTCAATGCTTTCGTCATTTCCATCCATACAATCATTTTGAAAATCGCACAGTTTTTGTGTAGGAATACATTTTCCATCGCAAAAATGAAATTGTTTGTCATTACTGCAATCTTTTAACCCAAAACCGCAAAAGCGTTAAGGTAAATTCAGTATTTTGAAAAAAAGAATAGTAATTACTTTGAATTTTAATTTTTTCAAATATATTTAGTTTTCCATCTATCGAACAGATTTCGTCACTTCCGTCTATACAATTGATATTGCTGTTGCAGAATTTCTCCGTCTCTAAGCATTCTTTATTCTTGCAGCTGTTGTTGTTGTTTTTTTTTTGGAAGTAGATGGGTTTGTTTGTTTGTTTTAAAATGTTTGTCTAACCTTTGACCTCGGAGACAGACTTCCCTTTCTGGGGAATGGAAAGAGAAATAAAAAAGAATATAGTTCATTGATCTCCTCATTGATTTAAAATGTAATTAAACCGCAATTGTTCTCATCATTTCCGTTGGGACAATTTGGAATATGATCGCACACGAGTTTGTAATTAATTCTTATACCATCAACTCCACAATCATACTCTTCGAAAAATGGACAATTATCCTCATCCTCACCGGAAATACAATCTTTCTGGCCATCACACTGATAAATTCTATTAATACAAATATTATCCACTAAACAATGGAATAGAGTATGAGAGCACGTGACCATGGAATTATTGATATCTAGTTGTCGATTTAAAGATGACTGATGATCTATCTTCTTTTTAGTATTAACTATTGATAAATGTAATTATTATTATCAGGTTGAATTGGTGTTTTTGAGTAAAATCTCACCTGCAAAACTTTTGCAGTGTACTACTCTTATAGCCTTCAAGTTACACTCTAATGGATCAATATTATAAGGTTTTTCAATTCTTGGTCTACCAAGATAAATTACTTGAAATTGTATGGCTATAGGTTGATAATAGAAGCATGAAGTTAATTTCGAAACAATTGGCCTATGTTGTCCATAAGTTGTCACTCTCCCGCAAATACTTAGAGTACTATAAGTAGTTCATATAAATATAGAAGAACATATTATATCATAAATACTTTGCTTGAAATGAGGTAAACTCGAATGGTTTACCATCTAGATGAATATTAACAGAATTCTTTCTCCTATCTTCTATCCTCTTCAATTCTGTTGAGAATATATAATCCGACAAATATTTAAATCAATTTTTCTAGTTATTTTCTGTAATATACTTCCTGGAAAGCGTAGATTTTTTCTAATCATTAGAGTAGTATCAAGATCACTTTTACTAAGAATAGACATTTGTCTTATATCTTCAAGAATCATTAAAAATTCAAAATTTTTAAAAGAGATGTATGCTAATGAGCTATTTTTCATATTGCATAATTCTTCACTCTGATCAATTGATATTTTTTTCTTTGAATGAATTAACAAATAGCAATACTGATAATAGAGGAATGCAGATGGATTTTGGCATTCTTACAAAGAAAAAAAAATCAAATGAATTTTATCATTTTTTGTTTCTTTTTGGTTTTGGTAGAACAAAAATCTAGTTTGTTTGTCAAAATACTAACAAACTTGAATAAATGTTCCATAAAAATGGATTTAAATCTCCATTTTTTGTAAAGATTTACCTTTTCCTTCATTACTACATTCAATGGTTATTAATGGTGAGCTTTCAGTTCTTATCATTTTGTATTTATTATCAAAGTTGGATGCTAATACTTCTTTATTTATTGAAAATGAACAGTTTGGTCTATTTTCCAAATGTTTGCAATTCATCTTTGCAGAGAAAAATACGAAATAATTTGTCTTTTTTTCAAATTTATATATTTTGCCATATTTAAAACCAAATGTCTTGCAAAGGTTTGTCAAATGCTC